ACATCTGGAATGCCGTCTCTTTTTGTTTAGGCAGCGGTTGCTTGCGGCTTTGCCACCTTATTCCCCATCACCCCATCAGCGCCCAGCGCAGCACCGCAGCATGCCTGCATGAACGGTCCATTAACAATGGCACTTGCCACATCGCCTTCCCGGTTGACAGGGCCATGGCAATGCAGGAGAGTCGGTTTCACACTTGGGTAATCCAGAGGGAGCAGGAGCAGTGGCTGAGGGCACAAGGCCCGGCTCTGCCATTCAATCACTCTAGCAGGTGCAGCGGTTCTCCACCTTCCTAACGCCGCGGCCCTTTCATACAGCTCCTCATGTTGTGGGGACCCCCAACCACAAAATTATTTTCGTTGCTACTTCATAACTGTAATGTTGCTACTGTTATGAATCGTAATGTAAATATCTGATATGCAGGGTGTATTTTCATTGTTCGCGACCCACAGGTTGAGAACCGCTGGCTTAGAGGCTCTAGGCCTCAGTTCTCCAGTTAGGGGGGGGACTCCAAAAATTCAGTCACTTAAAATGTGGGGTTGCAACATTGTGACGATGATGAAGAGGCTGCAGGGAGCCTGCTCAGCTGGCCATGGGTTCGAGAATCCTAATGTCCTAAATCCTCCCTGGAGCTGGCTATGCTGGGGGCTCACTCTGCCTTGGACAACAGAGAGGATGACTGTGGGCCCTGGAATGACTGGGATTTCCTGGACAGTGACAGCAGTTTCCCAACGAGGAGTGTCCCAGCTAGCTGGCGCCCATTTCATTGCTTTGTTCCACAGTAACCTGCGAGCATATTGGGGCTCCAGAGAGAGGCTTGCATCTGCTGTCTCACCTGGCCTTGCATCCACTTGTGCAGAACCTAGAACTGAAGCTGTTAAACTTCAGGTCACCCAGGAACTCACTTTTCCTGTGGAGAAGCAGGAAATCCTTTGACCTCCCCACTGCCGTCAGACGTTGAAGACATGAGCCATGACCTCAGTCTGGCTTCCAGGAAGGTTGCATGGACCACCTCAATGCCCTCAGCCAGAAGGCCTTGTTACTGTCTTTTTTAATGATGTTCATGAATATGTGCTCACTTTAGTGCATGGCTTTTCAACCTCACCACTAGACACTGGGCCAGATAGTTCTTCGTTGTGGGCAACTGTCCTGTACATTCTAGGATGCTCAACAGCATCTCTGGCCTCTACCTACTAGATGCCACTGGCATTCCCTTTGCCCTGTTGTGATCCAGAACTTCTCTAATCATTGCCACATATGCTCTGGGCGGCAAAATTATCCACGATTCAGACCACTACTTATTAAACAATTTTTTGAGGCAGGGATTTGTTAACCCATTTTTATGGATGTAAAATGCAGATTGGAGGATTAGTAACGTGTTAAGGGTCTCATCACTATGCCACCTCTAAGGCACGTGGGTCCTCTCCACCCTTCTTATGGCCACTATCTAGTCACCCACATAAAACAATCATTTAGAAAATATTTGTCAAACACCTACTACATGCCAGGCAGCGTTCTGTTTGCTCAGTAACTACCGTGGTACTTGGTATTGGGCAGAATGGGAGGGAGAAGGTGTAAAAGATAGACAGCTCTGTTCATTTCCTATTGCTCCCGGACTACGAGAGGGTGCAGTCCAGGCTGAGGGACCCCTCCCACTGAGTGCACAAATTTTGAGCACCGGGCCTCTAGTAATAATAATAATAAAAAGATGTCAGCAGACCTATATTCCTCTGGAAGCTGTAGAGGAGAATCCCTTTTCTCCTTCAAAGCCAGCAGTGTAACATCTTTCCTCCTCCCTGACCTCTGCTTCCATCCTTATACCTTCTCTTTCTGACTCTAATCCTCCTGCCTCCCTTTTACAAAGACCCTTCTGATTACATCAGGCCTATCTGGATAATCCAGGATAATCTCCCCCATCTCAAGATCCTTAATTTAATTACATCTGCAAAGTCCCTTTGTAACTGGACAACCAGGGGGTCTAGGCTGCCTGTCACTACTTGAGCCAATTCAGCAGAGAGAGGGTTGAGTCATGTATGAACATTTATTCCAGTACTGCTGGAGGTTTGGGAGAGCAGCAGGTCATCCACAAAAATCTGGTCTGCACCTCCCTATAAGCCAGCTGCTTATATTGGGTTGAAGGACAAAGATCACATGGGAAAGTAGGCAAAAGGGTATTCCAAATGGGCAATTTGCAGGTAATACAGGATGGAGATTTGCAAAGGGCTGGGGATCTTCAAAGCGCTGGCAATATGCAAAGGGCTGGGGGTCTTCAAAGGGCTGACGGCTCTGGTTTTTGCAACAAGGTTATTAATCTTTCTTTTTTTACATAAAGGAGATACATATGCATATTTAAATATATTTTTATTGATTTCAGAGAGGAAGGGAGAGGGAAAGAGAGAGAGAAACATGAGTGACAAGAGAGAATCATTGGTTGGCTGCCTCCTGCAGCCTACTGGGGACCGAGCCCACAACCTGGGCATGTGCCCTTGATGGGAATGGAACCTGGGACCCTTCAGTCTGCAGGCTGAGGCTCTATCCACTGAGCCAAACTGGCTAGGGCAAGATTGTTAATCTTTCCATGATAATAAGCAGCTCCCAGATGGGGAGGATGGGCTGCATTTCCAGGTGAGCAACTCCCAACCAGGTTAGAATGTGCCTTCTTTAATCAGAACAAAACAGTCGTGGTTAACAGAGTATGATGAATATTTCTTATATTCTATTTCTGCCCTAACACCTTTGCCATGTACAGGGATATTCACCGGTCCCAGGGATTAGAATGTGGACATATTTGGGGACCACTTATTCAGCCTACAACAGTCTTTCCTCTGCCACCAAAGATTGATTTCCATCTTAAATACAAAATGCATTCATCCCAAGCTTCCCAGAAGCCTCAACCCATTACCATATCAACTCAAGTCCAAAATATGTCCAAGTCTCTTTATCATCCAAATCAGGTATGGGTGAGATTCTGGGTGTGACCCATATTAGGTCCAAATTCCTCTCCATCTGTGTTCTTGTGAAACCGGAAAGCCAGTTATCTGCTCCTAAATGCAATGGTGGGCCGGGCACAGGAGAGCAGTTACAGCATTTCCCATCACAGGAGAGAGAAAATGAAAGGAGGAAAGATGGCACCAAAGCCAAGCCGTCTTGAAATCCACTGGGCCAGCTCCATGAGGTTTCAAGGCCCAAGAATAAATCTGTGTGGCTCAGGGCTCCCGCCTCTGGGCCCGTGGCTCCACTCTTGGAGTCATCCTTCCTCTTGCCTGAGGGTAAATGTACTTCAGCGAAGTCGTGTTGTCCCCTGTCTCCTGCCTGTAGAATTTTGGGTGTCTCCCTCTCATTCGGTTCTAGCTGGCAGTGTTTCTGCTGGATGACATTCTCAGAAACCATGTGGATCTCCTAGTATGCCTCTAGAATTCATTCCATTCGACAACAAGTTCCTTCATAGATTTTCCCTGGATAATCCCGTCTCTACTCCTGGCGCCGGCTGAGATAGCTAAGGGGACCCACAAGCCCATGTCTGATCTCTTCAAAGAGCCCTCAGGGTGATTGAATGCTCTAAACTTTGGCTCCTCTGCACTATTAGCCAAAGGTTGCTGAGTCACACCCTTGGTTTTCTCTCCAGAGCATGCTTTTTGACAGGGAATCTCCTAATTTAATGTCTTTTTCAACCCAAATAGAATGAGAGTTTCCCAGATCATCCTATCCCTTTTTACTTAATAATTTTCCCCTCAGACTATCTCTTTCCTCTCACAGTTTTTCCTATGCAGCAAGAAGAAACCAGACTGCATCTTCAACACTTGGTCTGGAAATCTCTTCAGCTAAATATCCAAGCCCATCATTTACAGAGTTTCACTTACCACATAATGTAGGACACAATTCCGCTGCGATCCTGCCACCGTATAACAGATTCCCTCTCCTCTAGCTCCCAGTAGCATGCTCCTCCCTTTCTCACCAGCGGCACGTTAATGTGCATGTTGGTCACTGGTCTGTGTAGGATTGTTTTTCTAAGACAATCAGTTTTCCACGCAGTGCTTCTCACTTCCTCAGAGGCCCTCACTGAGCCATGGGGCCAGGGATTGGGACTTGGACATCTTTGGGGAGTCATATTCGCCTACCCCAGCCACTGTTAGCCACCAAACCTTTATTCATTCCTTTCCTTTTCTCCCACGTCTATTAGATGCTATGCGGGCTCCAGGGGTGGTCTAGCTAGGCTAACCAAACATACTGGTTTGCCCAAATAGTCCATTTTACATTTTTTGTCCCAGTGTAAATGTAGTAATATTCTTTTTCAAAAGTATCCTGGCTTTGTTGATAAATTTTTTGATCACTCCTGTCTTAATTCTTGGCCTTAAAATTGTAAATCTGCAATCTTATGAGACAAAACACATTAAAAAATTGTCAAGCAATAATAGCTAAGTACTAAATATTGCGACATTTAGGTGCTTCTAAACATCCTCCAGTACACAGGACAGGCCCCACAACCGTGCACCAGACATTAACCATCTGGAATTTCAGGCTCATCTGGAGCCTTTGGGATTTCATACTCAGATACGGTCCCTGGGCCAGCAGCGCCAGCATTGCCTTGTTAGAAATGCAAATTCTCAGCTCTGTCCAGAACCCACCGAAGCAGGAACTGTGGGCAGGACCCCACAATCTGTTTTAACAAGCCCCAAACCAAACCATCTCTCTCTCACACACTCACACACATGTACACACACACGTGCACACACATACATGCACGTGTGCATGCGCACACATTCTTAGTGGCATACCAGGCATGTGAACAGCACAGTTAATACTGTAAACACTGTTCTGTTCAGAGTTGCTTGTGTGTCCCTGCCTTTTGTTTTCTTGTCTTCAAAGTGATGACAACACCTGGGTTGAGATGATTTGGGTAAATGTTAGTTTGGCGGGGATAGTTCTTTGGTTCTAAAAATCTATTTCAGATGATTTTATCAAAGTGACATATTTCCTTTCTCACTTTTCTTGACCTTTGGCAGGAGCTAAGAAAAAGCCTAGAACTTAGTGTCAATCTACAAAGGAAGCAAAAGGACTGTTCCAGTGACGAGTATGACTCCATTGAAGAGGACGTGCTCTCTGAGCCCGAGCCTGAGGACCAGGCCCTGGGGAGCAGTCCCAGACATGGCACCCCTCTTTCCAGGGGGGACTCCGTGCAGGAGGATGCTCCTGACGACCAGGAGACGGCAGGACACCCTTCCCGGGGCCCAGACACCCTCGTGGTGCTGGAATTCAACCCGGCTTCCAAAGGTGAGCTCTGCCTTGTGTGGTGTTTCCTTGTCTTTGGTGTCTCTGGATCCGAGAGTCGGACTTAAGTTTCCAGCCACACTGTGAGTTCCGCTTGGATAGACCGTCCTGCGGGCCAGGGAGCTGTATCAGTCAGGTCTCTGCGGGTTGCAAGAGGCAAAGGCCTCAGATGACACTGAAATTCCAGGTGGTCCATGCCTGGCGGTGTGGGGGCTGCCTTGTGCATCTGCACGCCAACTGGGCCAAGCAAAAGGGACCGTGTTAGCTTGGAGAACGGAGGAGTCCAGGGCTTAGCAGGACTCATTTCTCTCCTCTCCTCCTCCTCCTTCCTGCCCTTCCCTCCCTTCCCTCTTCTCCACTCCCCTCTCTTGTCTCCTTTGCCTTTCCCTCCTCTGTCCATTCCCTTCCTTCTCCTTCCCTTCCTCCCTCTCACCTCTGCCCTCTTTGTCTTGTTTTGGTACAGTCCTCAGGTAGGCGCTCCGCATACAGACACAGAATTGAGACACTGCATCTGATGGCTTTGCAACTCCATCAGAATGTGGATTTTCCTTCCTAAAAGTTCCAGCAAAAGTCCCAGCCCTGGATTTGAAGCCCACAGTGGGCCACATCTCTGAGCCAGTTACTGTGGCTCTGATGGGCCAGTCCAGCTATGGGTGTGGTTATCACCACCCAGACCACATGCACTGACAACAGTTTCCAAAGGAAAATCAAGGCAGATCTGAAGACGGGGAGAGCATGCTGGGCAGACGGAAACCACAGCTGTCCACAGAGGAGGCTTTTCAGGCAAGACCCGGGAAAGTAGAGTGAAACGCAGTGGGGCACGGGCCGGGCCTGCCTGCTGCAGTCCTGTTCTCCACTTTGGCTGGCGGCTGGCGGCCTCTCCTGCCCCTCCTGCTGGGGTGCCCTATCAGGAACCAGATTTCAAGCCCAGCCAGGGGGGCAGCATGTGCGAAGCTAGGAAGAGAAATGGGGGATGTGTGAATCAGCCACTGTATTAGTTCACTCGGGCTGCCGTGACAGACCACAGGCTAGGGGGGACCACAGGCTGAGGGGACCACAGGCCAGGGGAACTACAGGCCAGGGAGGACCACAGGCCGAGGGGACCACAGGCCGGGGGGACCACAGGTCGGGGGACCACAGGCTGGGGGGACCACAGGCCGGGGGGACCACAGGCCAGGGAGGACCACAGGCCAGGGGGACCACAGGCCAGGGAGGACCACAGGCCGGGGGGACCACAGGCCAGGGGAGACCACAGGCCGGGGAGACCACAGGCCGGGGGCCCACAGGCCGGGGAGACTACAGGCCGGGGAGACTACAGGCCGGGGAGACCACAGGCCGGGGAGACCACACGCCGGGGAGACCACAGGCCGGGGGGACCACAGGCCAGGGAGGACCACAGGCCGGGAGGACCACAGGCCGGGGGGACCACAGGCCAGGGAGGACCACAGGCCGGGAGGACCACAGGCCGGGGGGACCACAGGCCAGGGAGGACCACAGGCCGGGGGGACCACAGGCCAGGGAGGACCACAGGCCGGGGGGACCACAGGCCGGGAGGACCACAGGCCGGGGGGACCACAGGCCGGGGGGACCACAGGCCAGGGAGGACCACAGGCCGGGGGGACCACAGGCCAGGGAGGACCACAGGCCGGGGGGACCACAGGCCGGGGGCCCACAGGCCGGGGGGACCACAGGCTGGGGAGACCACAGGCTGGGGAGACCACAGGCCGGGGGGACCACAGGCCGGGGGGACCACATGCCAGGGGGGACCACAGTCCCGGGGGACCACAGGCCAAGGCTGGGGCAGCTTCAACAGCAGCAGGAACCTATTTTCTCCCAGTTCTGGAGGCTACAAGTCCAGGTGTTGACAGGGTTGGTTTCTTCTGAAGCCTCCCCTTGGCCGGACACGTCTGTCTTCTTGCTGTGTCTTCAAAGGCTGCCCCTCTATGTGTGTCTATGTCCTAATTTCCTTTTCTTATAAGGACGCCAGTCACATGGATTAGTGCCCACCATGACTGACTTGTTTTACCTAAATTACCTCTTCAGAAACCCCATCTCCAAGCACAGTCACGTTCTGAGGTGCTGGGTGTTAGGACTTGAACATAGGAGGTTTTGGGGGACATAGTAACAGGCAGCCACACCCAGGGGTTGATGTCACCAGAGAGAACGCTTGTCCCTCAGACATGTGTGTCTCACCTGCAGACCCCTCGTGGGCTGTTCCCTGGGACTAAGTCACCGCATTTCCTCTCCTCTCCACTCTGAACCCTGACACCCGGCTCCCTGCTTTCCCCTCAAGGCTTAGCTCAGAGGCTGCCTCCTCCGAGAAGCCTTCTTTGCGCTCCCAGCACGGCCTACTCTTGGTGCCTCCTCTGCTCCCACAGCAGCAGCATGGCGCGGGGCTGGCTGACCCAGCTGTCTTCCTCCCGGCCCTGTGAGCTCTGCTAGGGCACAGGCCTGCTCTTACCCTCACCTGGCACAGTCCAGCACTCAGAAAATCTTTGTCAAACAAATGAAGGAGCTGGGCCCACCTAAAGCCTCCTGATGCTTCTGTGTGCCCCACTGGGTATGTTGCTGAGGGGAGGGGGAAAGGTGGAGAGGGCGGGGAGAGGGGGACCTGTCAGGAGGCTGACCAAGCCCCCATCCTGGAAATGGGGGGGGGGGGGCCATGAGAGTCACTTCCAGGTGTGAGGACCAGCCCCAGAGGGAGAGCCGGTGGACCCTAGGCAGTGAGAGGGGTCCTGGGGATAGAACAAAGAGGGAACTTTACTTTCTTGACAGTTTACAGTTTTCCCAATGAGATTGCTTGGCAGGACCTGCATGGACCACGGTGATGTCTGTCTGTGAGCACAGAGGGGCCTGCTGTGTCCTCCTGCCACCCCACCTGCCCCTTTCATCAGCACCTCTTCCTGAGCCCCAGCAGGAGACAGATGCCCTGAGAGGAGCAGGAGGGAGGCCCAGGGCCTGTTCTCAGTCTCTGCAGACTCCAACGTGGGGCTGGAGTCTCAACTAGCCCTAAGCTTGTACTCAGGGCCAGTCAACCGGAACCTGGAGAGATGTGCTTGTTCTGGGCTGTTCGCTCGTTCATTCATTCATTCACTGGACCTACATCTTTCCCAGGCAGGGTGCTGGGACAGCTGGCCCAGTCCCTTTTCCTACAGCTCTTCATCCTAGCAGGGAAAGCACAGAAATAGCAATTGCTAGTATTTCTCGAGTTCTTATTAACATGAACCAAGCACTATTCCTGGGGCTGTACATTTAGTCCTCCATCTAATCCTCACCACAACCCCAAGGAAAGTACCTGTTTTATAGACGGGGGAGCTGAAGCACAGAGCGGTCACATAGCTTCCAAGGTCACAGCTAGAAGGGGCAGAGTGGGATCCAGTCTCCCGCACTCTGAGCCCAGAGCCTGCGCTCTTAATCGCTGGGCTAAACAAATAAACCAGATGGCTCCAAAGCGACAGCTGGGCCCGTAAGTCCCCCACCCCCTGGTTTTCCTTCTGAGTGTGAGACCAATGAGAGAGAGGCACGGGGCTCTGACACAAGGAGGGCGAATTATTGCCTTTCCTGCTGATAAGAGCTGGATGGGTGGCTATTTGGGACTGCCCCGAAGCAGGCAGACCCCTACCACACAGGTGTTGGCCGACTGGACCATGGCGACATCAGCCTGGCAGCAGGAGGCTGTGTGCCCTGAGAGCAGTGGGGCGGCCGGAAGAGGGAGGAGGGTTGAGCCCTGATGGCTTCCCGCCCCTGCTCCCATCCCATTTGTCCTTGTGAGTGGAGGCAGTGAGCGAGCAGCACAGAGAAGGGCAGAAGTTATTTTCCGATAACTGGGAAAGGAGAGGGCTGGGTTAGCTTAGGAATTCAGAGCCTTGAAGTTGTGAAGATGCTAAAACAGGCCACTGGTTGAGATGGGGGGACCACAGGCCAGGGGGACCACAGGCCAAGGAGGACCACAGGCCTGTAGAGGAGAATCCCTTTTCTCCTTCAAAGCCAGCAGTGTAACATCTTTCCTCCTCCCTGACCTCTGCTTCCATCCTTATATCTTCTCTTTCTGACTCTAATCCTCCTGCCTCCCTTTTACAAAGACCCTCCTGATTACATCAGGCCTATCTGGATAATCCAGGATAATCTCCCCCATCTCAAGATCCTTAATTTGGGGTGTCTTAGCTGGGACAGGATTGAGGAGGAGGAAGCAGCCATGGGAACAGCATCCCATGCAGGGAACAGCAAGCACAGAGGGCTTGGGGAGGGAAGAGCGTGGTGAACCCAAGAACAGAGGGAGCAGCAAGCACAGAGGGCTTGGAGAGGGAAGAGCGTGGTGAACCCAAGCACAGAAGGAGCAGCAAGCACAGAGGGCTTGGAGAGGGAGAGCGTGGTGAACCCAAGCACAGAAGGAGCAGCAAGCACAGAGGGCTTGGAGAGGGAGAGCGTGGTGAACCCAAGGACAGAGGGAGCAGCAAGCACAGAGGGCTTGGAGAGGGAAGAGCGGGTGTACCCCAGGACAGAAGAAGGGCCAGGGAGCGTGGTACAGTTGAGGTCGGCAGTGATCCCAGGTCCTTTCCAAGAGTCTGGGTCCTTGGAGCCTGGGAAATATCCTTTCTAGACTTCTGATGGCTAAGGCAGACCCCCTGGCCACAGTGTCTGCAGGACTGTCTGTGGAGAGGAGGCGGACCGTAGATAGGGAATAAAGTGGTTAGGGGCAGGGCTCCGAGCCAGACAGGCCTGGTCAATGCTGGGTCATCGCTTGACCTTGAACAAATGGCTTGGCCTCAGAGCCCTGCTCTGTGATAGTACTAGTTTCCCATGGCTGCTGTAATCAATTGCCATAAACATGGAGGCTTAAAACAACACAATTTACTGTCCCACAGTCGTGTTGGTCAGAAATTTGATGTGAGTCTCACTGGGCTAAAATCACAGTGTCGACAGTGCTGTGTTCCCTCAGGGGCTCCAGGGAAGGACCTGTTTCGGGCCTTTTCCAGCTTCCACGGGCCACCGCTTTCCTTGGCTCAGGCCCCTTCCTCCATCTTTAGAGCCAGCAACGTTGGCTCTCTGTGCCTTTCTTCCATAGTCACACCTCCCCTGGACCTCCTCTTCTGCTGCCCCTCCCGTGTGTGTGTGTGTGTGTGTGTGTGTGTGTGTGTGTGTGTGTGTGTGTGCTTGTTGTTATTGTGGTCAAATATACGTAACGTGGAATCTACCATTTGCATCATTTGTAGGAGCAGCTTGCTGTTAAGGCACTCACGTTGTTGTGCAGTCATCACCACTGTCTTCAGAAGTTCTTCATCCCAAGCTGAACTGTTCCTCTTCCTCTTCCAGGCCCCCCTATGATCACAGTGTGTCCCCTGGGATAATCCGTGATGATCGCCTTATCTTAACGTGGCGGACTAGCCCGGCTCATTCTCCCTTGCCATGTAACCTTACATGTTCACAGGTTCCAGGCTTGGACGTGGCCGTCTTTGGGGGCCATTATGCTGCCCATGGTCTATCTGCTAGGATGGCTGGGGGGCAAATGAGACGTGTGCCAAGGACCTAACTGTGTCTGGGCTCTCAAGAGCCTGTCACTTTTACTGTCACCAGCATGTTTTCAGCACTTGGGGAGCCAGTATTGTGGGCATCTGCCCCTCTCCATGCCTTGTCTTGCCCCATTGGACAGTGGGTTGTCACACACTGGGCTGCCTTGGCACTGGATGTCAGGCCAACAGGGAGCAGCTACTGCAAAAGTGCAGAGAAACACAGGCCCTTCTGAAGTCAAGAGGGGAGCGGGGAGGGGTGAGGGCAAGTCTGACCTACTCCACACAGTCCCCAACATCTTCCCTGAGCTCCTAAGACCTGCGGGACCCTTGATCCTGGGACTCCCTCTCCTTGGGGCCACCATGAGCCCCAGGACTTCCTCTGCTGGTACCTGTCGCTCCTCATTCAGTAGGTACTTTCCAGGTCTCCTGCCTTCCAGGCCAGGGGTCCCGCCTCCAGTGCCAACTCTTTCCCCTGCCTGAGCTTCATGCTGTTCAGCCACTGCCTCCCGCCCAGTGGTCCTGAGCATGCCCTCCTCCTGCTCTGACTCTTGGCTGGCTCTGAGGCCCTGGAGCCCTTTTCCCTAAACTTGAGCCATTTGCAAACCTTCTTCACAATTTTTTGCCATCTCCACAAGCCCCCTGTTCCAATGTTAGCTGTTATTTAACCAGAACCTTTCTTCTCTCCTTCCCACCCCCTTTCTCTTTCTTTTCTTTATAATTCTAGGATGGTTCCAGCAGTAATGCTCACAAAATCAAGGGTTGATATGTTGGTTACATTTTTTCCACACACATTCAGGCATATAACTGCTTAAAACATTGTTTGTCCACGTGGCATCTGGAATCATCTCCTGTCCCACCAGTGGTCCAGGTGCCCCGCGTTGGGAAACATTGACTCTAAAGCGTGGCCCATGGCCCTTCGCTGTCCACTCACCAGCCCAGGCCCCAGCCGCTCACCTGCCACATGCCTTCCAGCTGTCAGGCCTTCGCACTTGCTGTTCCCTCCCCAGCCTCGTGTCCCTGGTGACATCCTAGCCACCTGGGAGGGCCCTCCTCACTGTCTGCTGCACACCTGGCTGCCATCCTGCAGGCTGCGTGCCCTCATGCCCTGGCCCTGGAGCCCTCTGCCCAGCCCTGCTCGCTGCTCCGTCCAGCCATCCTTCCCTCGCAGGCTGTGATGTGTGCTTTGCTGCGTTCTTCCAGCTCTGGGGGCCTCGGTTGCACCATTATTTTACCTGCCATGCTGCCAGTGAAACCCAACACCTACTCGTAAATGCTAAAATTTGAGAGCCTGTGTGTGTCCTAGAATATTTCATTTATTTGCCAATATGCATGGTGGTCTCAGCAAACTTGTTTCATTGTCTGTGTTATCCACATCTCTGATTCCAGGCTAGCATGGTGCCTGGCAGGGGGTCGGGTTCAGTAAACATTGGTTGAATGAATAAATGAATGAACAAATAAACAGATGCCTGAGCAGAATGTCCCAACTCTGCTTGCACGCCGTTTTTGACATCTAAACAACTGTTTTCCTACAGGTAATAAAAAGGAGAGGAATCTGTCTGCTAAGCGAAACGACAATGCGGAGGCCCTCGTTCCCAGCAAACGAGAGCCAACCCCGACTCCCCAGCCCCCCACTGTGTTCCCAGACCGGGAGAGGCCATGTTCAAGTAAGAATTCTGGGGGCCCCGAGCAGGGCAGGGCCTGGGCCTGGGTCACTCTCAGTAGGGTGCGGTGATGCCGGAGGCCTGGCTCATTACCCTCTGCCAGGGTCAGAGCTGACCTTTTGCAAATGTATTATTAGTCAAGGTCTCCAGAGCAACAGAACCTATGGGGCGGCAGGGGAGGGGGAGAATAAGGAATTGCCTCATGCAGTTGTGAGGGCTGGCCAGTCACATCTGCGGGGTGGATTGGGGGGCTGGAGACGCAGGGAGAACCAATGTTGTAATTCAGAGGCCCTCGAGCGGGACGGACCCGTGCTGCAGAGGAAGTCTGAGGCAGTCTGCCGGAGACTCTCTCCTCAGGGAGGGTCAGTCTTTTTGTTCTATTCAGGCCTTCAATTGGTAGGATGAGGCCCACCACACCGTGAAGGCCCATCTGCTTTATTCTACCAATTACAATGTTAATCTCCTCGAAAAACATCCTCTCAGAAACACCCAGAGTAATGTTTGACCAAATACCTGGGCTCCCCGAGGCCCAGACCAGTGAACACATAAAAATCACACCCACTTTCTTGTTCTATGATAAGAAATTGGAAATTTATAATTGAAAATTTATTTTTCAGTTAATTTGCTTACTTTATGTGGGTAAAAATACATGCAAAGGGCAGTAAGTTCTAAAGGTGCAAAGGAGCTTATGGTGAAGAGTCAGTCTGCTGCTCTGCTAATGAAATGAGAGGTTACACTGAGTGTGTGACCCAGCCACCGTCGCAAGCCCTTGGTTATATCATATGCAAATAAATTATATATGTAATTTATGTAAGCAGATCATATAAGTAAATTGCAATCCTATAACTAGTCTTCAAGGTAGGTCCTGTGATTGTCCCCATTTCACAGACATGAAATTGAGGCAGAGGGCAGGTGATTCACAGCTGGAAAGTGGCAGGTGGAGGCCTCCATCGCTGGTGGAGTAACTTCACTGCTGTGTCCCTAACCAGCACTGCACACACTGAGGCTGCAGAGCAATCATCACAGCCTGGTACCCGGGGTCAAATCCAGTGGCTGGAGTGGCTCTGGGTGGTGGGGAGGCGGCACTTGCTTCTGGTTTCTATGACCAAAGGATCACAAAGACCTCAAGGCATCCTGGGGTGCCCTGGGCACAACCCAGCCCCAGCCAGCCAGCCCTGTTAGACAGGCTGAGCCAGGGGCCCTGACCTCTGTGGCTGTGTCATTTCATTCATGTTTACTAGGGAGCTGGAGGGACTGTTTCCTGCAGGGACAGGCCCAGGGACCTGCTGGTGGGAACCAGCCCCTCCCCCACAGTCATGGTCCGGAGGTGGGCCGTGCACCTGAGCCTGGGGCCTGAGCTTGGAGTTTTTCCCAGCAGCTCAGGGCAGATGGAAGGGGGGGAGGGGGGGTGAATAGCAGAGCTCTCACTGACTTAGTGAGCATCTGTTCCATGCTGTGTCAATATTGTCTTGGTTTGGATTCCCCCAGAAACAGACTCCAAGATGAGGATTCAAGAGCAAGTCATTTATTTGGGAGGTGGCTCCTGGTAGGGGACGGAAAGGGAAGGAGCCAAAACTGGCTTCATCACCAGCAAGTTCACCGGGCGGTGGAGTGCCACCTGGCTGAGGAGCTGGGGGCAGGGCTGAGCACAAGCCCCCACATCGGCCGCTGCTTCCACCCCGGGGGCGAGGCAGCTGGGCCGTACACACTCTCCCTTCCCTCGGGTTGTGGCTGTTCCGGGTGTTGAGTCCAGCACTCTGGCTGAGTGCCGGCACCCAGGCATTCTCTGAGTCACCCTATCACAACCCAGAACCCACCTGGGAGAAAGGACTGAACAAGACAAGACACTTTAGATGGCAGATGATAAAAGGCAGAGTCTGTATGAGGGGTGGGGAGCATCCATTTGGCCTGGCCCTGCCAAGGCATTAGGGGTGAGTTAATTAAATGTTTGACCCAGTATAGCAGGCTAATTTTTAAGTTGATAATTTTGTATGGTCCGAGAATGATGTTATAAATATGCCCTTGGCAGAAAAAAGGTTCCCCATCCCGGGTCTATATCAACCCATGTAACTACAATGTCCATATGTGGGTGATGCTTAGGCACAGCCAGATCCAGGTGGTTAAAGTGTCGGCACCTGCCCCTCTCCAGCTCTCGGCTCTGCACTCTTCTCCGTGCCCTTCATTCTCTGACAAGCTCACAGGGGTGGTGCGATGCCACCAGCAGCTCTGGGCTTACAGCCCACCAGCCCAGCAATCCTGGCGGAAACTCGCATGGCTGACTGCAGCCTGACCACCTGGTGCAAACCCTGCCCTCCACCGCCTAGCTCTGTGACCTTGGGCAGACTCCTTAGCCTCTCGGGCCTCATTCTCCCCTCCACCACACAGGGATACGATAACACCCTCCTGCAAGTGTTGCTATAGGACTGAAGGGCTGGGGAGATAGACTGCTTCGAGGAGCACCTGGCTCCGGGCAAGTGCTTGGCCGGGTCAGCTGGCACTGTTCTCACAACTGTCAGCAAAGCCTCGGAGCTGCTTCTCGTTGCCTGGCTGAGGTCCGGGAGGCTCTGTGAAGGAGACACTGGTGCTGTCGCAGAGGCAGAGGCAGAGGGAGTGGGTGACGGGCAGCAAACGCTCACAACTTCCTTATGGACACTGTTACCCGTTCTCCCATTTCACAGATGAGGAGACCGGGGCTGAGGACATGAGAGTTACTTGCCTAGAGCCATGGTCGGCAAACCGCGGCTCGCGAGCCACATGCGGTTCTTTGGCCCCTTGAGTGTGGCTCTTCCACAAAATACCACGTGCAGGCGCATGTACAGTGCGATTGAAACTTCGTGGCCCATGCGCAGAAGTCAGTATTTTGTGGAAGAGCTGGTATTTTTTTTTAAATTTCTTTATTGGTTAAGGTATTACAAATGTGTCCTCATTCCCCCATTAACCCCAGCCTCCCCCCCGCGCCCTCCCCACTCATGTTCTCATCCCCCTGTTGTCCGTGTCCATTGGTTTGGCTTATATGCACGCATACAAGTCCTTTGGTTGATCTCTTCCCCTTACCCCCACCCTCCCCTACTTTCCCTCTGGGGATTGATAGTCTGATCGCTGTTTCTCTGTGTTTGGATCTGTCCCTGTTCATCAGTCTATGTTGTTCTCTATATTCCACAAATGAGTGAGATCATGTAGTATTTATCTTTCTCTGACTGGAAGAGTAGGTATTTTGTGGAAGAGCCACACTCAAGGGGCCAAAGGGCCACATGTGGCTCGCGAGCCGCAGTTTGCCGACCACTGACCTAGAGTAACAGACAGGACAGCAAAGCCAGGATTCACACCCAGGCCTCAAGCTCCAGGCTCTGACTAGCTCTGTAAGGGTGCCTGCCTGGGGGCCACAGTGGCTTTGGAGGCACCTGGGTGTATAGCTCCTGGCAAGCTTAACTGTGACTCAAGCACAGTTAAAGCTGCAGGTTTTCGGTTCAGTACACGGAGCCCTGGGTTGGGGAGTTGAGGTAGCAGTCCGGGGCTGGCAGCATGCGTCCCGGGGGTGTGCCCTGGTGCATGGACAGGGCCAGCAAGTGAGGCTGGGCCTCAGGGCCCAGGCCTGGGGCTGTAGGTTAGGGCGTGCCCCAGCTCCGCCCAGTCCACTCCTGGGTGGGGTTGGCAACAGGTTGTCGTCTTCTCAGCCCTCACCAGGAACCTGGGTATTGAGCACCTACTCTGTGCCAGCCCTGGTCCAGGCCCTGGTGATCCAGTGAGCAATACACTGACCCTGCTCTCATAGCGTTTATGTGTCAGTGGGCAGGGATAGATAACAATCACGAAGGTGGCGTAGTGATGATACTACCAAGACAGCAACGGGGTGATGGCTGGGCATCTTTGAGGAGGAAAGACTTGAGCTGAGACCTGAATTATTTCAAGGACTAGCCCTTTGCAGAGGGGAAAGCCTGTGCAAAGGCCCTGAGGTAGGAAAGAGCTGCTCAATTAGCTCATGAATCAGAAAGAGGGCTGGAGGGTGGAGCACAGGGAGTGAGGGGAGGGTGGCTGAGAAGAGGTCACAGAGGTGGATAGGGGCCAGAGCACACATTGAGACCAGCAGAGGGACTCGGTGCCAAGCAGACCTCTGTGGCTTTGCAGATGGGGCTGCTGTGACCTGGTTTACACTGTAACAAGATCCCTCTGGCTACTGCATGACGCGTGGCCTGTCGGGAGCCAGGGTGGACGTGGGGTGACCAAGGAAGAGACCACTGCAGGGTGGAGAGAGTGGTGGCTCTGCGTGCCACCGGTGGCTGGACTCTGGACAGTAATGGGCTTGCTGAGGAGTCCATTGTCAGCATGACTAGTTGTGACATTTTATCCTGAACAACCTGGGGCAAGAACCTGGGTGGTGGGGAGCCTGCTGAGACTTGGCCGTGATGTGGGGCCCTGGCTTGTCACTCGGTTGGGGAGGGTTCTAAGTCTGTGCCACCAGCAAAGGCGATTCAAGCAGCTGGAGTTGGGATCTGGGTCTGAACCTGCAGGCAGGCTGGGCCTCTGGTCTGTGTGCTGCCTCTGCCGGGGCCAGCGGGAACGGCAGGAAAACCCGGCCTGCAGGCAGGGCAGGGTCCTCGCACCCACCACCACGGAGAGCCGGGATCTAGTGGGCAGAGTGAGGATCAAGCTGGTTCCTGGGGACTTCTTGGCAAGAGCCAGAGCCTAGAAAGAGGCCTGATGGGGCCTGAGGAAGGTAGGGTGGGAAGGGACTCACTGTCCAAGTGACATGTGGACAAGGGCATGCCAAGGTCACACAGCAGCTGATAGGGTTAAAGAGCTGTCGTGTTTGTAAATAGGTGTCAGGTAAATCTGGTGAATTTGACATCTGTCAGTTTTGATCAGGCGAAGATCTGGGGAGCTGGGAAGGAGAGCGAGAAGGGGCCACGGGGCAAGCTGCAGGCCAGGTCCCTCTCGGAGCCCCACAGTGGAGACTGTGGGTGGCAGTCCCCTGTGACGTTGTTTGTGCTACACCAGGGCCGGCT